GGGGGGGGGGGGGGGGGGGGGGGGGGGGGGCCTGATACACAAATCTGTTTTGAGTTTTTGTATTTTTCTTTTATTCTTTTTTTGGTGTGAGATCATTGGATTGTTTGCACATTTACTGAAATGAAACCATGTGAGAAGTTTGGAAAGAAAAGTGACTTTTAGGAGGAACCGCTGACAACACATTGACCCCAACTGCACTGGAAATAATCCCAAGATTAATAATCAATGTTCTAGACATGAAATGCTGTTTTACTCACTGGAATTAACTGGAGCGGAAAAACGCTTGACTAAATATATCATTGTGTATGTAAGTAAAATACTTGGTAAAGAATACTGATTAGGTCCAAATAAAATTAGTTACAGCCTGGTACCAAAAAATGAAAGTGCACCAATTTTTTTTGCCAGCTTGTTTGTTAGCAAAATACCTCTTGAACCAATTGAATTTAATTTATTTAACCTTTGGAGTCAACTCCACTCAAAATGGCTGCCACAGCTAATAAGCCTTAGCAAGCACCAAAGTGGCTATCTATTGAGCTAATGCTTGCTGTGTTAGTAGCTGAGCATCATCACAAACACGTGCACCAAGCACTGATTGACTGCATGAGATCTTGACATTAATTGTTATAATTAACCATGTTTAGCAATCTATCTCAAGAACCACTTGGTGTTTTTTTTCCTGTGTTTTTTGAATGGCATCATTAATTAGGGCTCTCGCAGGGCGGGGTCTGAGCAGGTGCGCAACTGGAAGAAGACGCGTTTAACAGGTTTCGGTGATATGTATTGTCAAAACTTCTGGGATGAAAAAACTAGATGTCGTTCAAACGCAGGCTCTGAGATTGTGTTGTGTGCTTTTAAAACTTCAGTGAATGCTTTACAGGTAGAGATGGGAGAAATATTGGAGCTGAGGAGAAAACAGATCGCTACAAATTATTGGGTTCATCTTAATAGTCATGGAGAGTCAAACCCCACTAGAAAAATACTTGAAAACTGCTGGGAATATGGGAAAAGGCAGAGAGACCATTTTGGGAAGGTTGGGAACCAACTGGCTAAAGATTACCATATTGATGGTTTGCAAATACGCCCTGCATTGGTTTACCCTGATGTGCCCCCTGGGTACTGGTATGCCCAAAGGTTGATTTATACCTCTTAGACCAGAAGAGAGAAGAAAAGGAAAAATAGATCTCATTGCAGCATATGATTATTGGGTTAAACTTAAATACTCAGATTGTGTTTGTGTTTTCACAGATGGATCCAAGGATCCAGAGACAGAAGTAACAGGTTTTGGGGTGTCAGTTCCAGCATGGGGAATAGATATTAACAGGCGCACTTCAGATGGGTTGGGGGTCTATTCTGTGGAGATGGTAGCAATTTTGGTGGCATCACGATGGGCAGAGCTCACTAAACTAAACAAGGTATTAGTATGTTCAGATTCAGCATCAGTTCTTTCAAGTATTTAATCATTTTATTCAAAAAGTCGCCAGGATATGATATATTATGATATATTTAGTACTATTTTCAGAATTCATCAGTGGGGGGGCAAGTTCAGTTTCTGTGGGTGCCAGCACATGAGGGGATCAATGGGAATGAGAAAGTGGATAGATTGGCAAAAGAGGCTCTAAAGAAAATAAACGTGAAAATGAGAATTAAACTAAATAAATATGAARTAAAGAGTTCGGTGTGGAGACTGATAGGCTAAACCAGGAATGGCAAAAAGAACGAGATACTGGAAAAAAAAGGGGGGGAGGCATTTTTATAAAATTCATAATAAAATAGGCGAATCCAGAATTCAGGGAGGGTATAGGAGAGAAGAAACAGCTATAACAAGAATCAGGTTAGAACACTGTTCACTTAATGATACATTATATATGACAGGGAAGCATGAGACAGAGAGGTGTGATGGTTGCCAGGAACAGGAGACGACTGAGCATGTGATTTTAATGTCTAGGCTCTATAGTGAGCATCGGGAGATTTTTAGGGAGAGGTTGAAGGAACAAGGGGTACAGGAGTTTACTTTGAAGAATATTTTGGGCTGTGCTAGTAGAGCTCAAGTAAGGGTCTTGATTTTCTTTTTAAAAGAGACAGGGCTTTACTGCAGGATAAAGTTTTATTA